TTGCGGCTCCGCTGGCTTTCTATTCTCCGAAATTTTCACTTCTCCACCCAGCCACATCCAGATATATGAAACCCGTCATTTATCAGAGCAATCTAAAAATGTGACGCTACAATAAAAAAAAAGTGTTCAGAATGATTGCCCGCAGTGGAAGGAAAACATACCAAGATGTCTGTGATGGTACGTTCGACAACAACTTCCTACCGCACACGCATATGCACACAAAAGAATGGATTTCCTCCTAAGTGAACGCTAACGCGTGCATGCAACATAGCGCTTCGAAATCCCGCTTAGGTCCGCTAACAACTTGCAAGTGTGTTTACGTTACAGTGCCAGAATTGTTAGGAAATTATTTCATCCAAATGGCACGATCGATTATACAAGCTTTACATTATGGTATTAGGAAATTACACTCTAACACCCCGTGGATTGCTTTTCCACCCACTCGCATTCATCTGGAGGCAACTACCAGCGTCCACGTTCCCAGGGATCTATTCCTAACTTGCCAAATCCTTGTGCCCTTTTGCATTAGAGTCTGGGCTGGCAGGACCGACCGTTTTAGCTTTCACTCGCGGGAGCCTAGAACAAGAAGCCTCTCCACTGAGATGCAGTGTCTGACTTTCATTACCAATTACGTCTGTTTTTCTTTCTTTGAACCACAATCGTTTACCACACGGTCGTTGCCAGTCAGATGGGGCGAAGGTGAGAAAAAGCCATTGTCTTCAAAAACAATTAGCAATCAAACCGAAACAGAAGAAAGTGCAGCCAGGAAGTGTTGAAGAAAGTGTTGCGGCTGGACGCTGATCTATACGCGTCTAAATCGAGGAGGGTGAGCAAGGCATGATGAAAGGCTTTGAAGAAAGAGACAAAAGAGGGTTAGGATAATTCACAACACACTTGTGGTGAGAGAAGCGCCTGCATCTTGGCAGAGAGGTTCTTCTCCTCTTTTCCTCTTACCCTCATCGCTCCTTATTCCTTCGGCCAAGGTGTGGTAGACACGACCAGTAAAGGCTGGATGCCTTGGCATATGAGCCATTTAATCTCCCCAAACTGTGGGAAGCGGGGAAGCTCGTACAAGGCTCCCTCAAACGCTGTCAGCGCACAGACCTGAAGTTGGAGCCCAGAGGTTGTACTTGAAACGTATAGACAACACATGCGAAGTCTCGAGGGAGGATGACTACAGCGATTCTGGGTAATTCTCCAAAAAATAAACGAAACCATAAATCTGAAGAGTCTTCAAAGAGCTAAAAAAAAAAAAGTCGAAACAGTGTAGTCATATTAAAGGACTATGGCAGGCATTTAATGTTTCCATGTGGTTGAAAGACAGAAAAAAAATGACTGCTCAATTGAAATAACGGAAACCTTGTGATTTTTTATTATTTTTAAAAATTGGTCCTTGGATATCGAACGACACACTATGCTGTGGTTTTCAAACATTTCTCATGTTGACAAGAAATCATATCTCCTGCCAATATGATCATAAAGGCCCAGCCATAGTAAGATGATGAGAACAGTGGGGGGTCGTGGGGGACACCACGACCATTGATCAGTTTAAACCATTTACGCTGCACTGTGTATGGGTATTTTAAAAAAATAAACACAATTCCATTCAAGATTCTCTCTCTCCACTTAAATGCTTTTGCGGGCATGTACATCCCAAAAGCAGGTGCAAGCCCAACTGAAAGGCCACTTCGGCCAATCAAAAAACAAAATATACATTCATTCCCAAAGACGATGGTGAATCAAGATAAAAGGGGAACGATATTATAATGAAGCCATGCGCAACATTTTAATATAAAATATGTCAACTATTAAACGCCATCAAGTCATGTGTCAGTCAGGTGTTCAGATCCAACATCCATGACATCCGGATGCATGGGCAAACATTTTCATAGATGGCAAAATATTCTAAAAAGTCGTCAAGGGGAATCTCTACTTCCTGTTGGTGTCCTTATCATTCAGCGGTTTACAGCAGCAGTCAAGTTTAGATGGTTTATTTCTTTTTTTCATTCAAATAAGAGGTCCATGGGCCTGAGAATTTGATCATAATTTACAGAAAATCAAGGGTCAACGAACCACTGTGTGCACCAAATGACAGCGACTTACGCTAACTCTCCCATTAGAGCTGCCGAAGCCGCTGCATCGCGTCAAGAAATTGTGCAGACGGCTTTACCGGCAAGCAAGGGACAAGAAGGGGTTGATGAGTTACAGATGGGACATTACACACATGCATGCAACTGATGAAATGTTAAGGTCAGAAGAATTTGTCACCCTAATCAGTCCTGTAGGAAGATTTTACTGCATGCATTCTGTTCTTGATTTCATCATTCTTCCACAACTACTCTGGAGGTTTTGGCACACTCTCTTGACGTGACCGAGTGCCAGAATGAATAACAAACACCGAATACGTTGGCTGAAGGAACAACTGTTGAAAACAATGAGAGCAGCATATAAAGTGTGCACCAGATGAGCTCGAAATGATTGACTGATTGATTGCGATATTTTGAACAAATGAACTCAAAAGATAGATTAAAGAAAAGAAAGAAAGGGCAATAAATGTCATCCTTGAACACAGTTCACATGTTCAAAAAGGAGTAGGAGGAAGTCAGCAATGTTGTGTGCGGCACAGACTCGTTTCTGCTACAATGCACTAAGTGCGCACAGCATTTGAATACTCAAACCACTCCGCATATTTCACAGCTGACGGCTGCTGGAAGTTTGACATTTGGCAACAAGCGGGCATCTGCTCCCGTAACCCATGCCCAGAATAACCCTCACACTCCCCGACACACAAACACATACTAACTGCTCAGCATCAGGACCGAAGTTAAAACAAACCATCAGGAGGTCCCGTCACATCCACTCAGCACTTAGCAACAGACAGACAGCCCTGTTTATACACTCGCATTCACATATTATTTCGGTGCGCATGTGCTCGCTACAAGTACAGAAAGACGCTTGCTGTGGGTGCCAGGTTGCTTGTGATTACTGCTGGGCACCGCTGCTCTCACACGTAAGCAGACACGTAAGCGTGCTGTACAGCCCACACCAAGTGAATCAAGTAGATTCATGAACCGCTTACGATGCTGACGAAACAACACTCATTTATTGCTTTGATGGTCTCGTCAACAGACAGCACTCATTTATCCTGGAGTCTTCAAAGGTTAGTATAAGTTATCATTTCAGGAGGAAGGTGAAAATTCCATTGAGTGATTTGAAATATATTGCACAATTTTGTGACACATTGACCTTTTTACACATTTAAGTAGTTGAATCTTATGCTTATTTAATTACGGATTTTTCAGAAAGGACCATTGAGCCTGCTCAAAAATGGGCATAAAAAAATAAATTCACTTTTAAAGTTGTCGTTCTTGATCAAAATGGTTAAAATGATGAGGGAATGAAAAATGTAATAAAATGAAAGAATCTGCATTAAGGCACTTTGTGATTAATTTCGCCCTTTAAGAACTGTGGATTGTAGTAAAGTGCAATATGAATGTATTATTATTAGCAGTAGTATTATTAGTATTATTGTTATTATTATTATTATTATTATTATTATCATCATCGAATGGTCTCTAAGACAATGAGTTTCAGTCTTCTTATAGAGTCGTCTAGCTGCAAGAACTGATTGAAGTTTTTTTTTTAAGAGTATATGTGTGGAACTTTCGAATTAGTCAATTAATCCATGAGCAAAATACATAACAATGATCACAATGACTCAAGTTCTGTCAAGTCCATAAGTGTAGAGTGGAAACGGAGGATGAGTCCTCTCTGAATCCTTATTTTTCCCCAAGACATTTGAGACAATTTTTGCTTCCAACTTTTTGGGAACAGTGCCCATTCCTTGCCCTAACCTCAAATGACTCAAGACCGGAGATCGTCCCAACATCGATGACCTTTGACGCCACAATTGTTACACCGGTTGAATTGACATAAATTCCCAAAGACAATCCCCAAATTATTGCAAATCACATACAGCAAATCATTCAAAAGTAATGAAACACAACTTACAAGGTACTGCATTGAAAAAATTTATTTTTTCATGGAATAAAATGCACTACAATAAATACATGTGTAATGCTTTGATTCCTATCAGGCAACACTTCTGTAAAGGCCAGCAGCCTTTACGGCATGTTGATTTATACACATAGACAGAATAGACAGTTTGACGATGCAAAATTGCTCAAGTCAGACAACTTCCGCATTAGTGGCAATCTGAGGCCCGTGTTAAATTGGACTTGACCCTCATGCTTTCCCACGCCGCTTAATGCGCTTAATAAGAGCCAAAAACACATCTCAAGCATGAGACAAATGCAGATTGGTGTTGAATTGAGACTCAAAAAGCAACCACGATGATCTATCTTCGTGTTTGGATCTGGAGCTAGCCACACATCACTTGAACGCCCTTCCATCACTCAGCTGACACCACATGGTGATTTACGATCTGTTTAGGAAGACTGTATCTCACAAAAATATGAGGAAGGCTCAAACTCTTTCTGGTATATATATAAAATAATGTGTGTGTGTGTGTGTGTGTGTGTGTGTGTGTGTGTGTGTGTGTG